CTCTTCCAGGATTCATTTGTTTTTAGAGTAACACGCTCTGATTTTGTTGGATTCATGGTATTGAATTTCTGCCTGGAGGTGGAACTTCCAGATGTAAGATCTGAAAAAGAAGAAAACACCTATTTGTTCACACATTAACTAAATCTGATAAGATTTTAGGTAAGCAACTATTGTGCTTTCCATCTTCTTCATTCCAGACTGGGATTTGTATGTGGTTTTGTAGTTATAACTGTTCATGTGCAACGCACAGGAAAGTAAGACTGAAGTTTGAAAAAACTTACAGCAGTTTATATCTCTGGTCTTAATCATTAAGAAATTACTCCAATACAGCAGATTAATTTCTGGAACATAGAATCATTAATGTTGGAAAAGATCTTCAAGATAATCAAGTCCAACCATCCACCCTACAACGCTCAACCACTAAACCATCTTATGAAACACGATGTCTATGCCTTTTTGGAACAACTCCATCACCTCCCTGGGCAGCCAGTTCCAAGGTCTTACCACTCTTTCTGTGATTAATTTTTTTCTCATATCCAGCCTGACTCTCCTCTAGCACAGCTTGACTCCATTTCCACTTGTCCTGTTGCTGGTGACCAGGGAGAAGAGGCCAACACATGCCTCACTACAACCTCCTTTCAAGTAGTTGTAGATGTCTTTATATTTGTGTTTATTTATTACCCTCTAGAAAGCAGAAAAGCCTTTCTGTTTGAATGTCTAGACATCTTTGAGTAATAAACCCAAAGCTTTTAAGTTTTGTTCTTTCCTTTCAAGATATTTACAGAGGTCAAAACAGCTCCATAAACAGCCACAACAGGGTACTCCATGGAAGGAAGATGGGACAGTGCTGCTCCTTCTGTCTCCATTTCAACTAGTGCTTGTCATCTGTGAGTTTGTCACTTAAGCTGCATAATGAGATCAAAAGCATGATTAAATACAAGCAAAAATATTGTGTATGAAATGGAAAGCAATAGTGGAAAGCAACATTCAACCTGACAACGCCAGAAAATGATGAATGAAGGATTTGATGCAATTCACCAATTTATATCTTACAGAACTTTTTTTTTAGCTCGGACATACTCTTATTTTGTCTGATCATAGAACTATTCAGGTTGGAAAAGACCCTTGGGATCACTGAGGCCAACCATCATCCCTACTCTACAAAGTTCTCCCCTAAACCCTAAACCATATCTACCAACACCACATCCAAACGACCCTTAAGCACACCCAGGGATGGTGACTCCACCACCTCCCTGGGCAGCCTATTCCAGTGTCTGACCACTCTTTCTATGAAAAAAATGTTCCTAATGTCCAGTCTAAACCTGCCCTGTTGCAGCTTGAAGCCATTCCCTCTTGTTCTATCAATAATTACCTGTGGGAAGAGACCAGCACCAACCTCTCTACAATGACCTTTCAGGTAGTTGTAGAGACTGATGAGGTCTCACCTCAGCCTCTTCTTTCTCTAATTAAACATATCCAGCTCCTTCACGCATTCTTCATAAGATTCTTTTCTCTAGGCCTTTCACCAGCTTTGTTGCCTTTCTCTGTGCTCGCTCCAGCACCTCGATATCTCTCTTGAATTGAGGTGCCCAAAACTGGACTGAGGTGTGGCCTCAGTACTCCAGGTGTGTCCTCAATACTCCAGCTGTGGCCTGATGCTGTGCTGTGAATGCTGTGACAGCTGGTATAGAGATTTGTTATAGAAATGCTATCGTTGGCCTGAATGGAGGGTGCATGGGGCAGGGTGACTGTGGAAGCACCAGGACAAGCAACACAAGAAGGGTTATAAGAATGGCCTGGGGTGACAGTGCCTGGCTGAGCAGGCTGTCGAGGTTACATCTGTGTGCAGCTTCTCAGGACATCCAGACTGGGACATGAAGGACAGGCAAGCAAGTCAAAAACTAGCACATGGTCACCAGCAGAAGAAGACACATAGGCTGCCATTTTTTAATCTATGACCTGGCTTTCTAGAATTGACATATCACCAAATGGAAGGAAATGTTACCTCTGATCCTGTGACATCTGGTTTTACTATGGACTAATCCTGGGAGCATACAGAAAAGGATTAGTATGTGTGAACAGACTATGGAGAGAAACTGATGACTGTACTGAAGCAAGAGCTATGCTCTACACTAAGATGTCCTTCGTTCACATTGCTGCATTAAGTCCACATCATATGTGTATCTTGTCTTTCTTCTCTGTGCTCACTAGAGCACTGATGAACTCTACGCTGAAGAGCATAAAATTTGAATGATGCTACATTTCCACATTTATCTCTTTTACTGTTTCATTGCCACCTTGTAATTTTGCACTCTTCAAAATGGCATAAAAAGGAACAATGAAATCTACACTACATGGGCATAATCCTTGTTAGTGACATTATAAGTACTTTAATACTTTCTCTCACAGAAATAAAGTAAGTTAAACAAACAAACTATCTTTCTGATAAATTAACGGTTAATTCTCTTCTTCCTGCATCCCCAGTGAGGCTGGCTTGATGTAGTTCATTTTCTCACCCTTAGTGTTACCTCCTGAAATGAACTATGTGATCACTTGGACATCTTGGTCTCTCTTGAAATAGCAGTCTTAGAAATGTTTTTAGGTAATACCTCCTTTATTCTGGCAGTGTTGTAGATTAAAGAAAAGTGATCTTTC